GGAGGAAGGAAGGAAGGAAGGGAAAACATCAATGTGAAAAACATTGATCAGATGCCTCCCATACACACCCTGACTGGGGATTGAACTCACAACTGAGGTATGTGCCCTGACTGGAATTGAATCCACAACCCCTTGGTATATGGGAAAATGCTCCAACAAACTGAGCCACCCAGCCAGGGCAATAACTCACTATTTTTAAATCAACTAGAAACATTAAGAACATAATATAAAACACAAGAGAACAACATGAAAAAATAATCAGGAATGAGAAAGTTGACTGAGCTTAGCAAAGACTAGGGAAAAAAAGATTAGAAATAAAGATTATAAAATAGACACAAGATCATATAAACAAAAGGCACAATGTCTTAATAGGTATAAAAGGTGAACAGGGGAAAAATTCAAGAAATAAGAGACATTGTAAACTGTAATTGAAAAATAAAATTTAAAAGCAACAAAAGGGATTCAAGATAAAGTGAAAGATATAGAAAGGCAAAAAAAGATCCAAAGTACACACAGTAGAAGTTCCTCTGTAGACTAAAGGAACAAAAGGGAAAACTATAACTCACGAACACTTTCCTAAACTTGGGGGTAGGGGGAACACTACACAATGAGGAAAACTACAAAACTGATGAAAACGAACAAAGAAAAACTAAGAATGGAGAGATATTCCATGTTCATAGATAGGAAGATTCATTATTATCAAGATATCAGCTCTTCTAGCATTATGCTAAGCAAAATAAGTCAGTCGGAGAAAGATAAATATCACATGATCTCACTCATTTGTGGAATATAATGAACAACATAAACTGATGAACAAAAATAGAGCCAGAGAAAAAAATATTTTAGAATATAATAGGAGTAATCCTGTTATTTGCAGATTTTTAATATTTCCTATAACTTCTGTGATATTATACTATGTTAGTACAGTTTTGGTAATATTATATTATTTAAAATCTTTCTTGAAATATGTTTATTGCATGTAACATTATATTTAAAATCATTTTTCTTAAAATATTAATGTTTATTGCATGTAAAATAAATAAGAATAGAAAAAGTAAAAACTTTTCTGGTAAAAGAAAAAAAAAGATATCAGCTCTTCCCAATTTGATCTATGGATTCAATGCAATCCCAATCAAAATCCCAGCAAGTTATTTTGGGAATATTGACAAATTGATTCTAAAGTTTCTGTGGAGAAGCAAGAAAGAAACTCTGAATAGCCAACACAATATTAAAGAAGAACAGAGTTGGAGGAATAATATTACCTAACTTCAAGACTTACTATGGTGAATTGTGCTGCTAAAAATTCCATCCATGCTGTTGCAAAAGGCAAGAGTTCCTTCTTTTTTACCGCAGCGTAGTATTCCATTGTGTAGATGTACCACAGTTTTTTAATCCACTCATCTGTTGATGGGCACTTAGGCTGTTTCTAA